GAATCCGTATTCTCCTCTACCTTCATCCTCCTTACGCTCCTTCTCGTCTCCCTATCCCCTATCACGTAATCTATTACTGTTCCCCCTCTTCCTCCTGTAAACGTCCATTCCCCCTCCTCATCCCCCTCTATATTTCCGTTCATTATCGACCATCCCATTTCTTCCAAAAAACTACACAAATTCCTACCCTCTTTATTACATTTTCTATCCTTTGATTTCCTTTCTCTCTCTATCTTCTCTTCTCCCTCATCTCCTGTCCCTCCCCCTTCTGTTCCCGTCCTCGCATTAAAATCTCCTCCTATTAACACCTTTACCCCCTCCTCTCTATTCTCCATCCATTCCCTCAGTTTCTTTAACTTCTTCTCCAGATCTCCATTTACGTATACTCCTACTATCCTCCACCATTCTCTTCCTAACTTCACTTTCGTACTCATAATTCCTTCCTCTACCCCCTCTCCTCCTCTCCCTTTCTTTATTTCTATCTCCTCTCTTCTTCCCATTACCATTCCTCCCATCGCTCTTCCTTTCTTATTTCTCTTTCCCGCCTCTTGTAATTCCTATACATATCCTTTTGGCAGCCTCTTTTTTATCCTTACCCATCCCTTCTCCTGTATCCACGTTTCACTCATAATTATTACATCCCATTTTCCTATCCCCTCCCAAAACTCCTTATCCTTGTTTTCCAGGCCCGCTACATTCCAAAATCCTACCTTATAATCCTCCCTTCTTCCATTACCTCTGTCTCCCTCCTTCTTATCCCTCCTCCTCTTCCCTCTCCCATCTCCCTCCTCCCCCCACCTTTCTCCTTTTAAAAACCCTTTTCCTTCTTTCCTCCCTCCTCTCCTATTCCCTGCTCCATTTTCAACTCATCCTTCTCTTCATCCCATTTCCATAACTTTCCCTCTATCCACAACTTCATATACCCCACCCTCACCTTTAACCCTTCCCTCCTCTTCCCCTCCGCTTCCTCCCTTATTAACCATTCTACTCTTCTTTCTTTTTCCGTGAGATCATCCTTTATCCACTCGTTCCTCTCCCTCAGGTTTCTCTTCCCTCTCATTACCTGTATCTTATCCCTCACGCTCTCGAATCTCACCATCACCATGTCTTTTCCATCCTTGTATCTCTTCCCTATTCTCTTTATCTCCTCTATTTTCGCCTCTGCTCCCGTTTCTCTTACTATCTCCTCCACTTCCTCTCTTAATCCCTCCCATCCCTCTTTCTTAGCCTTTACCCCCCTTATTATAATATTTTTCTTTTTCTCTTCTCTTTTCATCATCTCCCCCTCTATTTCCATTCTCTTTACTCTCTCTCCTATATCCTCCCACCTCCTGTCTTTCTTCTCTCCTCCTCCTACCTCCTCCTTTTTTCTCTCCCCTTTCTCTACCTCCAACTCTCTTTTCTCCTTCTCTTTATACCCCTTCAATTCCTCCTCTACCTTTTTAATTCTCTCCTTCATCTCCTCCTTTTCCTTTTTCCATTCGCTCATCTTCTCCTCCATCCATCTTCTCATCTCTTTCATCTCCTCCCTCCCTTTCCTTATCTCTTCATCTATCCTCTCCGTTTCCCTCCCCTCTCTATTTTCTCCCCTCCCCTCTTCTTTCCCTTCCGCTCCCTTAACTGGTGATCTTCCTACTTTCGTGGTCTTTCTAAATATATTCTCTTCCCCTTTTTCCTCCCCCTGCCTCTCTTTCCTCTTCTCTCCTCTCCTGAACAAATCAGCTATTGGCAGACTATTTGCCCTTTCCCTTTTTAATATCTCTGCTTTACTCGGTCTTCCTACTTTTCCCTTTTCTCCTACCCTCTCCCCCTCTTCCCCTTTTTTCTCTCCTTCCATCCTTACCTCTACCTTCTTCCTACTGTCTCCTTCTGTACGCTCGCCTCTCTACCCGTCTGCTTTTCTCTATTCTCCGCGCTCCTACTCCCTCTAGACTTCGACTCCCCTCTCTACCTCTCTCGCTAGTCTATGCCTACACGTGTCTGCCTGTCACTCTGCTCTTAACCTACCTTCTCCGTCCCGCTTTTCTCACCTCTACTCTATCCCTCTCGCTCCCACCACTCTCCTCCACTTACTCTGCTTCACTCCACCCCTTCTCACGTCCACCCGTCCTTCTCTTCCCTCTTTCACTACTCTACCTTTCCTAAATCCTCTCTTTTTCTCGCACTCACACACCACAACACCTTTCACTCACGCTGCCGGAAACGGAAGTCGATAAGTGTAAGTGTGAAAAATTAAAAGTTCTTTTCACCGATAAGTGTAAGTGTGAAAAATTAAATAAAGTAAAAGAAGATAATGACCGCAACAGTGTTAACATTGAAGTACAATTGAGTCCCGATTATCCGAGTTAATGTGGATCAGGACCATCTCGGAAAATCTACTCGGATAAACTGGAAAGAAAAAATAAAAAGTAGCAAAACGCTAGACACTTATCTAACAATAAGCATGGACTGTGTTCAGAAACATCACTCGAATGCCCCTATGTATCATTTCACATTCGGTGAATAAGGATGAAATGATACATAGAACATTCCGATGGTGTTTCCGAATACAGCCCTGAGACGAAGTACTCACTCGCGTAAAAACTCGCGTTTCGTTGATGAGTCCATCTAGTTGCTAAAACATGCGCGGTAAGAGGGTAACAGTTCTGATTAAAAAATACTTTAAATCCATTTTTATGTGCATTTTTGCATAAAGTTATTATTAAAACGTTTTTATTAATATTAAAATTGATAATTAAAAGAATTCTTGGAGATTTAAAATTTTATTTTTGATAGTGAAAAAAATTAACTTAAAAAATCATCTTGGTCAAATCGGAACTCGGATGACGGCTGAACGGGGGGTACTATCACCACAGTTATATCATTTTACAATTTTCTTATGTGAAAGTACAACTAATATCAAATTGTAATCTAAAAAGATGCTTTCTGGGTAGAAAATGTCATGCTCATTGCAAAAAGCAATTATTGATTATTTCGGAACTACGTGAACGCGGCCATGGCAACGCTGAGGCGCGCGGCGACTCACTCACGCACACTAGTAGACGTGTGGTTCACGAACATGCGTCCGTTTAAAAAGCGATGCGGATTCGCTAATTTTTAAATAATAATAACTACTTTGTGAGACATGACTTGAAAAAATAGTTCAGGACTCTTGGACTCAGTTTTTCATGAGAAATATCACTATATAAATGGTGGGCGCGAATTAGAATACACCCTGTATATTGTAATCCTTTGCAAAGGAGTATGTCCACATTTATATTTAATTCCGTAAGCTGCCTTTTTTGCGAGAAGCCGCAGGAACATTCAACGATTTTTTCATAACTTGGTGTATCAGCGAAGAAATAACTAACTAAATGTGCGACATTGCAATTGGTATTTAATTTTGAAATTCCACAAGTATAGCTAGTTAAAGCGTCACTAAAAAGAGAATTTTTTAATAAGATTTTAACTCTTTCTTTGTAGTGACTTGTCGTTATTTTTCCGTCACGTAATACTAACATGGTTAGATTTATCGTAGGATTTTCCGAAAACTTTATTTTGTCCTCATAGGACTTGATATTTGCAATGCCGCTTGCAACTAGATGGAGTATCGCATCGAACGCACAAGTTTGAGAAATGATATGGGGCTTACTTCTCTTAGTCTTTCTTTAACTATACTTAGTAGTATATTCCACTGACGAGGTTTCTCTTCCGAGTTAATTCGCCACGTAGCGGTGGCGCCGCGAACTAGCGTGGTCGGTCGGTGTGGGAGTGTTAAGCGCCAGGCGCTTATGGCTGCGTGTGTTCGGGCGCCATACGCCAGGCGCCAAAAGTGGTTATAACCTTTTATCGATACTGACGCCTTTACATATATTACCATTCTGTATGAGTGGCATGTTTTGATTTTTAGATAATTTGATGTAGTCCCATTCCGGGCACTTATTTAAATAAGATGGTTTACGCCGTTTTTTTTTTGGAGTAAAACATTGCTCTTCCGGTGATTCACGAACAAGGCCTCGCCAATTTTCGCGGACATTGCAATTTAACTGATCTTCGCTATCGATCATGATTGTATCCATCGATGCATTATTTTTATTGTTATTATTAGGAACGATGGTATCAACCATTACATTATTTTTATTGATGCCTTCTGTTGTACTAATATTTTGTACATCATAGTTAATTGTATTAGAATAAGAACAGTCATCTGTCGATTGATTTGTTTGCACCTCAATGGAACTTTCAAAGTAATTAAGGGCTACTTGATTTCCCTGTGTATAATTTATATTTAAAGCATCTTTTTGACACGATGCCAATTTTATTTTTCCGTCAAGATAATCAAGACGTTCATGTACGAATTTGTCGGCTCGCGTTGGCAATTGACCTTTAAATGCGCGATTTTTCAAATCTGCAAATGCCGACTCAACGGAAGAAAAAGTGGCAATTTCTTCGCCTATATGGAAATGTAATCGCATTACACCACTCCAAAGTATACAACGTACGGAATTAAACGCGTTTTCATTATTTTTTTCAAAAACAGGATTGTAGCAAGCATTTATTGCTGTTCCCTCAGTACAATTAACTGCTATCTGTATGTCATTATTATATATGTTGGTACTCCATTGAAACCAGTTAGAAATATCCTAATCATCGGCTTTTTCTGATTTATCTGTCTCGTCGAGATTAGTGTTATATTTTTATTTATGTCATCTGACATTTCCGATATTTCAGGCGCGGGAACATTATTAATTATAGTATTTAAATGCCGTAAACATATAAATCAGACGATAATTCCTTCCCGTTTTCATTGGAGCCAACATACTCGCTTAATGCTACAAGAATTGCTTTAAAAAATGTGCACAATTCTTCTAGCGAAGTCATTTTAGACGCTTGACTTAAAGAACGTAAATAAAAACTACGAACGAGTAATTTATCTTTTTGTTTTAAACAATTCCATCTCGAAATCATAGAAATAAAATGGCTTATATCTAATCTTATAAAACATGATGGGGTAAAAATGCCAAATAGGGGATCCTGCTCCTACGAACTTGACCTTGACATATGTTGGCAAGGACACCTTACTGAGTGACGTAAAAAAGGTTTTAGCCGTCGCTCGTTGTTCGTTAAAAAGTTATTAAAAACAATGTTAACGAATTATATGTAATTTTCAGACATCATATACATGTAGACACAGGTTAGACACGGGTGATATTTGGGTAAAGCAGTTAATACACTGGGTTTGGGTAAGGTTATATCTCAACAAAGTGGAGCCCCCCGAAGGGGGGCGGAACATACTGTCTCCACGCATATACTTCCATCGTTGTACTGTTCCACATGGGTTTGCGACTTTCCACGTGAAGCGAGATCCACTCCACACCTCGAACATAGTGTGGGTAGGGTTATATTTTAACGGGGAGGTGCCCCCCCGAAGGGGGGGGCGGAACGTACTCTCTCCACGCATGTGCTTCCGCCGTTGTACTGTTCCACATGGGTTTGCGTAATTCCTGTAAAAGATCTACCCAATCTACATTAACAACGGAAATACGTCGTCGAATATTACCTGGAACAACAATATACAGCGATTGTTGGCGTGGATACTCATTAATAGGTTACTATTATAATCATCATTGCGTTAACCACTCAGAAAATTTTGTTTACCTTATAACTGGCTGTCGTACGCAAAATATTGAGAGAGTATGGCGTGATATGCGTAGTGTAATTCCTCATTACGGAATAAGTGAAAAGCATTACAAACACTATCTTGCTGAATTTTTATTCAAAAGAATTTATCCTTTTGAAAGAAGAATTGAGGCATTTTTTCACATAATGAGAAAAATTTATCCTATTAATAATAATAATATTGTTGTGCCTCACGTGGAGACGCAAGCCGTTGGATCCGGTCCGCTTCTTTCTAGCACCAGCACACTCGCATGCACGCAGGTCCGCGGAGATAACGAAAGACCGAATTGCACTAGGAAACAGGATTTAATGAAAGCAAGATTACAAGCGGCCCACGATGCGCCTGCTCAAGGCAGGGGCCAAATTCAAAATCCATCGATCGTTGAAAACATAAACAAACAATACTCGTAACCAAGCGACATACCGGATAACGAGCGCCCAGAACGCGGGCATATTACTTCGCAGGCATAACACTGCTCCCCTCCTCTTCAGATTGTCGTCCCGACAATCAGAGGGGGAACAGTCCTCCCGCAGTCTTCTTAAAGACTTCAGGGCGAGAATAGGACTCCAATCCCTCTCCCCTACGAAACAGTCCCCGACCGGATTTCCTGGGAGAGGTGATCAATCTCCCCCCAACGGCTCCAGGGCGACTCCTTCCCATGCCGGACTCATTCCGAGTGGACATGCGCCGTGTAAATCCTTGCCCTTTTCGTTACTGTATCACGACGATCATCTTGACGAAGCCGACGATGACGTCCCCTGTTACAAATCTTCACACAAGGGGGGGGGGGAATACTTCCCGTGGACCGAACGTCCTTACAGGCTCCCCGAGTCCCTGCCCCAGCATTCGCTTTAAAGCCACGTGGGAAAAACCACTGGCTCAAAAAAACCACGGGCGGGGCAGTCTTCTTAGAGACTCCTCAGAGGGTCGAACACAATCGTCTCGAGTGGATGAGTAAGACCAGTGTCGGACGTCCGGAGTCTCTGTCTCGCTCCCCCGTCGGAAATACTGCAAAAATAACGGAAACACAAACAGAACCAACCAAACTATGGTACTAAATTAAAAGGCATTTATTTCCTTCTCCTCCCCCAAAAAAAATGTTAATCTTTCCTTGGGCTCTGACTTTCTAATCTATTCAATTCTTCTTTCCTCAAAAGGAGCTAACCTAGCCGCATGAA